TTCGTGCCTTTTCCCTTGTCAGGTTCGGTATATAGAATTTACCGAACGGATTATATTTATGCTGTTCGTATGCTGAACCAACTACCGAACAGTTGGACCACCCGTAAGTGGAGTGTGCAGCTCATTAACCCTATTGACCTCGTTAACAAGCTCTAAAGGCAACGTTCTAAATGGTCGGCTGGGTGGCCGTTGTTCGTATTGCCAAACACATGGCGGCTTCCATCTTTAGCTGCAAACACATACGGCAGTGTTTTTTCGCTGAGTGAATGGAACTATAATCGGACACTCGATGGCACGAACACCGCTGAGACTTCTTTCTCCACGTGTGTTCGGATCCATTCGTTTGAGAAGAATGGCGTTCGGTGGGAGCAAACTCCAGAATGAGGGACACAGATTAATTGTACATACGAACTGGTTGCATTCGTATTTCTGTTGTATTGTGAACGCCCGAAAGAGACCGACCGCACAGCCTGATTTCATGAAACTCTTTTGGGCAGGAGCCTCATGTGCGGTCGGTCAACTTATGACCTCCATGGAAATCCCAAAACCCTGAACCAATCTGGGTGATTTTTGGATATGCTGGTCCCCCAGATCGGGGCTATCAGGGGATGTGACTGTGGGGTTTACATGTGTTTTGGGGGTACTTTAGGGAGGTTGTTAAAATGTATGTTTTCTGTGCCTGGAGATAATTGAGTTTAGTACAGTTTCTGACTCAATTATCTCTGAGGCACAGGGGAGGGATTACCTTGTTTTGTGTGGGAGTGTCCTGGACCTGAGAGCCAATGTAAGTAAAGTTTGTACTTTTTCAAAGTCCCCTCTCAGGTTCAGTGGGGAATGCCCCTGGAATATATTAGCCAAGCTGCGGTTATGGTTTCTGGTGGAATGCTTAGGAGTACTCAGTGTTGCTAGAAGCAGCGATTAGCAGAGGCACCCAGTCGGGGTGCCAGGCAGTCAGTCACATTTGGTGTTAGCAGAGGGATGGCTTCCTAGTCAGTATAGAAGCATCCTAACAACACCGGTATCATTGGATTTATAATTGAGGGCAACGCTAGCATTCGTGCAGCGCCCGTGGTTGTGGAGGAGCTCTGCGGAATGGAGCGAGCCTGCCTCCCATCAGCGTTCACACTCAGGGACGAGAGTGACCCAGAATGGAGAAATATAACCCGGGGGCTATACTGGGAAGATGCCCTGGAGGAGATCTAGTTTCAGCGGAGAGAGAGACTCCCCAGTATAACCCAGCGCTTGTGGGACCAAGTAGCCCAATGGATGTCACTTCTGGGAGAACAACCCGAGGCAGAGCGGGTAAGGCACCTGGAATCCCTAGTAGAGAGGGAACTGATCATAGACACTTTGAATCGGGCGCTGTGGTGGTACGCAATACAGGATGCCTGGTTGGTGGAGGGTGCCTCGCGGGCAGGAGAAGGATACAGTGGCCCTGGCCTGTTATGGAAGGCCCTTGAGGAGGACGGTGACTTCGGCAGTTCTGCCCAGTCACGATGCTATGTTGCAGTATCCCTCAGTCCTGGGGCTGGGATCAGACCTTGCCCACCTGGCTGCCATGGAGTGGGAACTAGTAAGAGATTATGTAGAGCTGCTAGACGCAGTTCAGCCACAGGACAGTGACGCAGAGCAGGAAAATTGGGTGGCTGACCAAGACCTGCCACACGCTTGAGGGGGAGATCAGGCTGCTGTAACCTCTACAGGGATGTTGGGCAGCCTGCCCAGATTGTCAGTATATTTATATCGGCAGACATTTTGTGTTAAGACAGAAATTTAAAAAGTGTATACTGTAAGTCACCCTCAGAACAGAGGTGACTCCATTTTTTAACAGGGACAGACACATTTTTACTTTTCTTTCTATAACTATTCATTCAAGTCTAAGTAAAGGAATGCAACTTATGTAAACATTAGAGATAAAACCTGAGATAAGGCATGATGTCTACAGCAGGGGGGGAGGGGGGGTTGAAAACCAACCCAGAGACAAATGTAAATATATATATATATATATACATATATATATATATATATTTGTAGTCGGGGCAATATAGCCGTGATGAACAAGTAACATAGCATATTATTACCATTAAACATATTTAAATTTACACCAGTCGGTTGTGGTGTGCCGGAACTGACAAAGCAGTAGGCCTGTAATAAAAGTGGGCCCACCTTAGAGGGTGATATGGATAGAGGGAGTGGTGGGAGAGGTTACTCGCCAAACCATCAACGGTAAGATTGGAGAGGATTGGCAGCCCTTTTAAAGGGAATTCAAGCCCCTCCCACAACTACAGGCCAACGCCCTAAAATTTGTAGTCGGGGCAATATAGCTGTGATGAACAAGTAACATAGCATATTATAACCATTAAACATATTTAAATTTACACCAGTCGGTTGTGGTGTGCCAGAACCGACAAAGCAGAAGGCAAAAAGAAAAATACCATACAAAATTTATTCATGTTACAAAACTTTGGACAAGTCACAACAAGCTTGCCATAACTCTTTAATTGGGTATGGAATGTAAAGAGTATAGGCAGAGGATTTCTGGCGTCCCATAGCCTTGATGATATGAGCTGGAATGTGGTTGGCGGAAGCTGAAGATGCAGCCTCTATGCGGAAGGAGTGCCCTGAGAAAAGGTTTGCATTTAGGCCGAGCCATGTTAACAGTAGGCGAACATAAAGCATGAATTTTGATGATGTAAGGATGGAGCCGTGAAGTTCTAATAAGGGTTGGTGTGGTTGTTTCTGGACTGTGATGAGGTAAGTATCCAGGACTTTTACAGGAAACCATTTGTTTTGAGTAGGGAACAGGGCAATTTTGACAGTATGTCCTATAGGGCTAGTTTTTGATTGATTTAAAGATAGAATATAATGATCTAAGGTTTTCTGGATATCGGAAGTTTTTAGGTATTGCATGGCAGTTATATTTCTAGCTGTAAATTCATTGGGATGTAAGAATCCATAGAATGCTAGGTAAATGGCAGTTTTAATTACCATATTGGTCATTTGTTCGAAAGGAGCAGAATCTAATAAGTCGGATAGTGAATTAAAAATGTCGTTGTGGATGGGTAGCCTTTGAGATGGTACGTGTGTATTAATCTTTTTTCATTCCTTTCAGTAAGGTCCTTATCTGATATGATGAAAGGAAGCCTGTATTGTTGGGGTGTCGTAGAAGCATGCGGTGTTGGATGCCCGTAAGGTACAGTTTAATCGTGTTAAATGATAATTTTAAGTTAAGGTGGCAAAAAGAAGTGAACCCCAAATAGATTCCACAGCAAACATGTCAAGCACTTGAAACTCTGCTATAAACTTAGTGAAAAGGTGAAAAGCCCTTTCGTATGATTTCCTAGTGTTGACAGAAAGTGCAATTGAGAAACATGACGTGCATGGTTTAACAAGACATTTAATCCATGAGCATGTCTAGGAATGGCGGGGCAGGGGTAGCCAGTCTGGAAGCGGTGGGTAGTGTCTGGAAGAAAGCCTGAAAACTAAACCGAGACAAATGGTCAGCTGAGATGTTTTTGAAACCTGGAACGTGAATGCATGTGATAAAAAATTGTCAAGTGGCCACTACCCATGTGAGTTTCCTCAACAGTCTCATGATGACCAAAGATGAAGGTCGGCCTTTATTCACAATGTGGCAAGTGGCTAAGTTATCTGAATAACATCTGACCGAGTGACCGGACCGTTTTGGTCCCCAAGCAATGGCAGCTACCACGATCAGATACAATTCAAACAAGGCCAAAGTAGCGGAGAAACTGGGCAGGCACTTAATGTCTGTAGGCCATGACCCCCAAAGCCATTGATCTCCCCAGATGGCTGCAAAACCAGAGTTTTCTGCAGCATCTATCCAAAGGGTGGGTGAAATGTCAGAGAGGGGGGAATAAACATGGCTCGCCCATTTCAAGATGTGAGGAAAAAGCGCCACATGAGTAAATCAGAGGTTGCGTGAGTGTCTAACGTGATACGTGATGTGTCTGTGGTGAATCGTGGGAATAAAGAGAGTAAATGGGAAATGAAGGATCTACCCTGCGGGATGATTCTCATGGCAAAATTGAGTGACCTATTTGCAGGTAATGTTCAATGCTTGATAGGGTGCACTCAATCTTTTCCTGGGGAAGGCTAGCTTGCATGTGGATTGAGTCCAATTGGATCCCCAGAAATTGCATGCTGGTGTCAGGACCTAAGGTCTTGTACGGGGAGACTGGGCTAGTCAGGGACTCAAAAAGAGCCAACATGTGTGTAAGGCTGCTAGGGGGGAGTGCATTGTTTTCAATCGTGAGAAAATTGTCCAGGTAGTGAATAATGGATGGACATCTGCACACATTAAGTAATAACCAACACAAAGTTTCAGCAAACGTGTCAAAAATTTGGGGGCTGCTTTTTGAGCTAAAAGTGACTTGTGAAAAAAAATAATAAAGTCCTCGCCACTTAATGCTGTGCAGATGCCATAGTGAAGGGTGGAGGGGAAGTAGTTTAAAAGCATTGACAATGTCCGTTTTACTGAGCCATGCACCTGTACCAGCCGCCAAAATGGCCCAAATGACATTGTCGATAGTGGCATATTGTAAGGAAAATTCTTTGGAGGGTATAAGGGAATTTGGGCTTGGAACAGTAGAGGAATGTGGTGCTGATAAGTCAATGATAAGTCTGGGTTTAAGTGAAGTTTCCCCCATAATAACCCCTATGGGGTTGGTTCTCCAAGATGTCAAAGGTGGGGAAACAAAAGGCCCCAACAAAAACCCTTGTTCTACTTCAGTCCTTATAAGTGTACACACTAACTCTGGGTTATTTAAAGTGGTTTGCAAATTGTTGCATTCTAGTGTCCCGGTTGGCAAGTGTACTAAACCCGTGTGGAACCCCTCAGACAATCCTTCGATGATAAATTTAACCAAATGAAATGTCCCAAAATGCAAATGTCCTGTTCTCAAGAAAATCCTGGGAGGCAATAAGAAGTGAGACAAGATTAATATCCTTGCCTTCCAGAATGTCCTTTTTAAAATGAGCTGGGACCATGTGCTAGGGGTTGATACTTTCAGGGACTTTAATTGATGCAAGAGTATTACCGGACATGACAGCCATTCCTGCATTATCAGTAACTGAGTTTGCAGGAACCTGGGGAGAACATACTGCTTCCGATTTCTCCAGTCTGTCGCTAATAGTGGCAATGGATGACATTAAAGACGTCATCATGGCATAAAGAGCCGGCAACTGAGACCCACTTGGACCTTTCCCTGCATCAGAGTTGTTAGTGTTCAAAAGTCTAAACAACTCCGCTTTCCTAGCAGTAGCTGGGAAAGGAATGCATCTCCTTCGTAGTTCAGCTGTGAGGCGTGGGATAGTCCATGACCTCAGGGAAGATGGACTAGTGACATCAGCTCCTTGGGCGGGAGTACCGGACCTAGCGGGAGTGCTGAGAAGGGACTGCTTCTCAGGAATACCAGGAACTTGAGACATAACTGAAAATATATAGATGCAACGTGATTATTCTGGAACAAAGTAGCCGGGTACTGGCAGGCTAGCTAGGTGCCAAGCGGCGAAAAAATTATGCTATTTGAAACGTGATAGATGAGTCCCTACTAATTGCCAAGCGGCGTGAGAGGCGCTACCTATGCGTTGGCCCGAGGGGAGATTGAGGCCACCGAAAAGTTGTGGCGGGGTGTTGGCCTCTCAGTGGTAACTAAAGCATAACACAGAATGGGAGTGTGGCGGAACCAGCCTCGCCACTGGGCATTGGAGAAGACTGATTGCCGGCCTCCTGCCCTGTGACTATGGCCCCATGTTGAAAGGATGGATTTTCCCCTGCAAAGACCCAAAAGCTGGGTCTTTCGGTACCTTCCCTATGTGAGCAGTGTTACCCAGATAGCTATGCCATGGAGCATTTTGTATAATGAAATACTATGGGAAAGACTTTGGCAAAGACTCCATGGCAATTGAACTGTATGTGTGTGCTCTGAGCACCATTCAGTAATAATGTGCGCTCAGATCTGAGCTATCTGGGGATATGTTGAATGTACCTGTTTTGTGCAATGGCTGCATGTCACGATTCCGGAACCTAACACGCTAACAGGTCACAGAGAGGAAGGATGCTATACCGGTCCTTAGAGTGGCCGGGCTAAGCACGCTAAGAATGGTCAGGAGACAAGCCAAGTAAAGGGAGCCAGAAAACGGGAGAACGAGAAACAAGCCGAGGTCAAAGGAGTGGAGAAGACAGGATAATCGGAATAACGAGCCAAATAATCAGTAACCAGAGAGCAACACGAGAACACTACGCTACAGGTATCACAAGACCACAACAGGGCACTGAGGGACAGGAAAGGTAAGTATAAATACCCTTGGTTTAATTCTGATTGGATAACTTCCAATCAGAATTAACAATCACACGTGGGGGATATCTATACCTCCCACTGTGATTGTGGTACTGTTCCTTTAACGCCGGGTCACTCACGTGACCCCGGCGTTTACATAGTTCAGTGACCTCCCAGCGTGCAGCGTTATACAAGTGGCATGCAGCCTCCCCTCCTAGCCGCCCGCGGATCCCTGACATAACCCCCCCCTCGAGGCCTGCCCAACGGGCGGGAAGCCAGAGGCTTCAAAGGGAACCGCGCATGAAAAGAGCGGATCAAAGAGGGCGCATTCAAGTCAGAGGCAGAAACCCAGGACGGCTCCTCAGGAGCCAGTAAGTTTTATGTGAATGTGATGCATACTTTCCAAGTTATGAATAATGTGGAAAAATTTTATTTCTCTGGCTGTGATAATTAGATTAACCATTGTGTTCAGTAATCATATCACAGCCAGAGGGGAGGATTTTGTGTGGGAGTGTCTTTCTGTAATGTACGTGTTATTGGTTGTTTTGTAAAACCCTGTGGGCAGTACTAAGTTTGTGGATTGGGAATAAAAGAGGCTGTATGTGCCAGTACAGTCAGTTTCTGCTTAACCCTCAAAGAGAAGTGTCATCTCATTATTGGGGAGGATTTATTGTATGCTGTTCCAGTTTGACTGCTAGGAGTGTAAACCTATTCGCATGGTTTTTCCAATTCAGCTGTATACAACATTCAGATGCTTGAGAGCATTCATATGCTTCTCCAGTTCGGTGGTTGTGGTGTCTGCTGCAGTGCTTGGAGTCCTCAGGAAGCGCTAGGAGCATCCTTCAACGGAGGTACCCAGTCGGGGTGCCAGGTGATCCGTTACATTGGTGGCAAGCGGTGGGATGGCGTCCTAGTGCGAGTAAAAGCACAGAGACACCGTTCGTGGATTTACAAATTGAAAGCGACGCTAGTGTTTATACAGGGAGTGCAGAATTATTAGGCAAATGAGTATTTTGACCACATCATCCTCTTTATGCATGTTGTCTTACTCCAAGCTGTATAGGCTCGAAAGCCTACTACCAATTAAGCATATTAGGTGATGTGCATCTCTGTAATGAGAAGGGGTGTGGTCTAATGACATCAACACCCTATATCAGGTGTGCATAATTATTAGGCAACTTCCTTTCCTTTGGCAAAATGGGTCAAAAGAAGGACTTGACAGGCTCAGAAAAGTCAAAAATAGTGAGATATCTTGCAGAGGGATGCAGCACTCTTAAAATTGCAAAGCTTCTGAAGCGTGATCATCGAACAATCAAGCGTTTCATTCAAAATAGTCAACAGGGTCGCAAGAAGCGTGTGGAAAAACCAAGGCGCAAAATAACTGCCCATGAACTGAGAAAAGTCAAGCGTGCAGCTGCCACGATGCCACTTGCCACCAGTTTGGCCATATTTCAGAGCTGCAACATCACTGGAGTGCCCAAAAGCACAAGGTGTGCAATACTCAGAGACATGGCCAAGGTAAGAAAGGCTGAAAGACGACCACCACTGAACAAGACACACAAGCTGAAACGTCAAGACTGGGCCAAGAAATATCTCAAGACTGATTTTTCTAAGGTTTTATGGACTGATGAAATGAGAGTGAGTCTTGATGGGCCAGATGGATGGGCCCGTGGCTGGATTGGTAAAGGGCAGAGAGCTCCAGTCCGACTCAGACGCCAGCAAGGTGGAGGTGGAGTACTGGTTTGGGCTGGTATCATCAAAGATGAGCTTGTGGGGCCTTTTCGGGTTGAGGATGGAGTCAAGCTCAACTCCCAGTCCTACTGCCAGTTCCTGGAAGACACCTTCTTCAAGCAGTGGTACAGGAAGAAGTCTGCATCCTTCAAGAAAAACATGATTTTCATGCAGGACAATGCTCCATCACACGCGTCCAAGTACTCCACAGCGTGGCTGGCAAGAAAGGGTATAAAAGAAGAAAATCTAATGACATGGCCTCCTGGTTCACCTGATCTGAACCCCATTGAGAACCTGTGGTCCATCATCAAAAGTGAGATTTACAAGGAGGGAAAACAGTACACCTCTTTGAACAGTGTCTGGGAGGCTGTGGTTGCTGCTGCACGCAATGTTGATGGTGAACAGATCAAAACACTGACAGAATCCATGGATGGCAGGCTTTTGAGTGTCCTTGCAAAGAAAGGTGGCTATATTGGTCACTGATTTGTTTTTGTTTTGTTTTTGAATGTCAGAAATGTATATTTGTGAATGTTGAGATGTTATATTGGTTTCACTGGTAATAATTAATAATTGAAATGGGTATATATTTGTTTTTTGTTAAGTTGCCTAATAATTATGCACAGTAATAGTCACCTGCACACACAGATATCCCCCTAACATAGCTATAACTAAAAACAAACTAAAAACTACTTCAAAAATATTCAGCTTTGATATTAATGAGTTTTTTGGGTTCATTGAGAACATGGTTGTTGTTCAATAATAAAATTAATCCTCAAAAATACAACTTGCCTAATAATTCTGCACTCCCTGTACAGCGTCCCTGTCTACATAAAGATTTGGGAAAATGGGGTTCGTGGATCCTTGGGCAATACGCACACCTGAGGAAGAGAGTGAATTGGAATGGAGAGATATTGCCCGGCAAGAACTATGGTACGATGCCCTGGAGGAAGTCCAGTATCAATGGCAGCAGCACCTTCCTGGTGTCGCATACCAGTTGGAGGAACAAATGGCCTGGCGGATGCCGCTTCTGGGAGACCAACCCGGAGGGCAGCAGGTCAGACAACTTGAGTACCTCGTGGAAAGGGAACTGAGCCTTGACGCCTCATACTGGGCACTGTGGTGGTGCACTGTCCAGCCAGAGAGGTGGAGGGCAGAGGGCATCCAGCTGGAGGGGGAGAACTACACTAGCCCTGGCCTGTTGTGGAAGGCCTTAGCAGAAGACGTCGACTTTGGCAGTCCAGCAGAGTCACGGTACTGGGCTATCTTTCATTACCGGGGTGAGATGGTACAGGGCCTGAGATCTATTGGACTGGGACAAGACCTCCACCGTTTCGCTGCCATGGAACGAGAGCTAGAGATGGACTATGTGGAACTACTAAACTCATGTCAGCCACAGAGCATGGACGCAGAACAGGAAAACTGGGTGGCGGACCCAGACCTGCCAACCTACAGCTGGAAAAACGCAGCCGAGGTACCCCCTGCTTCACTACCAGCTGCAGAAGTAGGGGACCTCATGGACTGGTCCTGGAGAGACCCACAGATGGCAGGTGGAGATGGGACCGAGATCTCTCTACAGGCCCTACAGGGATGCTGGGCAGTCGGCCCAGATCCCCAGCGGCAGAGTACATTACAGGGAGAAGAGGCCACTGGTTTCACTCCCCAGCGGCAGAGCACATTATTGGAAGGGGAGACAGTCGGTCCCCCTCTCTACCGTCAGGGAGAGGAGCCTGTTACCCCCTCTCCCCAGCGGCTGAAAGTGTGTAAGGGAGAGGAGTTTGTTACCCCTTCTACCCAGCGGCAGTCTAGCCCACCAAGGGGAGACAGTAAGCCCCACAACAGTGCAGATGGGACCGTAGTCTCTGCACTTGCACCACTGGGGATATGGACAGTCTGTCCTGGTCCCCAACAACAGGGCAATGTATTGGTAGGGGAGGCAGTTTGTTTTACCCTACAACAAGAGAGGGTGTCGCAGGGAGAGGAGCCTGTTACCCCCTCTCCCCAGCAGCAGCGTAACCCACTAAGGGGAGACACTAAGCCCCTCACCAGCGCAGATGGGACCGTGGTCTCTGCGCCCAATCTACAGGGAGTACGGAGGGTCAGTCCTGATCCCCAGCGGCAGCCTAGCCCACCAAGGGGAGACAGTAAGCCCCACGACAGTGCAGATGGGACCGTGGTCTCTGCACCTGCACCACTGGAGATATGGGCAGTCTGTCCTGGTCCCCAACAACAGGACCATGTATTGGAGGAGGAGGCAGTTTGTGCATAATTATTAGGCAACTTCCTTTCCTTTGGCAAAATGGGTCAAAAGAAGGACTTGACAGGCTCAGAAAAGTCAAAAATAGTGAGATATCTTGCAGAGGGATGCAGCACCCTTAAAATTGCAAAGCTTCTGAAGCGTGATCATCGAACAATCAAGCGTTT